TGGAGCCAGGGATTGAACTCAGGCCCTTGCACTTGCCAGGGAAGCGCTTATTCCACTGAGCCATCTCCCCGGCCCCCGTGCAAATGGAACGGGAAGCTTAGTATTCCTATTATTTCTCTCATGTGGGCCTTAGGGCCCCAGAGCTGATCCTCCTTGAATAAGGACACAGATGGGGAGTCAGCTTCCTGCCCACAGCGGCTGGTGCCTCAGTGTCTCTGCTCAACAGGCTGTTCTCCCTTCCTGTCCTGACTCTAAGGAGCTCTGGGAAATAAAAAGCTTGTGAACATCCCTTTTACTAGACTTGAGGGATGAGGTAGGCAGAGTATAAAGATACATTCTTCTGTGGTTTCTAGAATATTAATTCACCCCTAGCCTATTTTTAATTAGTGCTAAATCTCCTCCTGAGAAATCCACCCACTATCACCCCAGGAAATAACACAGAAAGCAAGGCAGTCATTTCTGCTGGTCAGTGGTTCAAACTTTACCTTGGCTTCAGGTGTTACTACTGGCTTCGGTGGGAACTGCACTTCAGTAGCTTTAAGGATAGTATTCTCTTGCAGAATGTCCTGCTGGGACTGGTTGTGGCCAAAAGGCTGTAACACAAACACAAAGCAAACAAACAAAAGTGGGTCTCTGATTAAAATGAAAGCAAACACAATCAGTACCACAGGAAAGGGGGAAGAGACATCTCCTGACCATGGCTGGAAGACATTCTGGAAACATTAGTCCCATTTTTTCCTTTCAGAGATGGGGGGACATGGAGGGTGGGGTTTGGGGGGGTTCCTGGCTTAAGGACTAGGCCAGGGCAGAGCAGAACCAGAGTCAGCATCTCTTGCCTCAAGGGTGGTTCCTGGTAAGAACCTGAGCAGGAACCTGCAAGTGGTAACTGGCTGCCTAAGAACCACACTGGCCAACCCACGACGTTGGCCAAAACGGATGGGAAAAGAAGCAGAAGAAGAGAAGGGCTACAGAAAATGTGGGAATAAAAAAGAGCTTCCCTTGTGCCCCAAGGTACCTTCCTCATATACTTTTTTTTTAATACTGGGAAATCAGGATCTTGTGCTTGCCAGGCAGGTGCTTGTGTTGCTGAGCTATATCCCTAGCCCTCTAATATATTCTTGTAGTTAAGTTCAAGCTTCCTGTCATCTCTAGTGAAAGAGCTCAAATAATTCATTCCAGGAAATTTCTATTATCACTCCCATCAACTCAACATTATCAGAGAATATAGGCAATCATTAAGCCCCACTAATTATAAATAGTTCCTTTGTTCAGAGAGGTAAGCAGAGCAAAGCAGACCAAGGGAGAAGTTAAGGAGAAAGCTGCGCCTCTGCGCTAGGAGCAGGGCCGAGCGGGCAGAAGCAGAATATCAAGAGTTCATGTAAGCTGCAGAAACCTCATTCACTTCTACTCACAGCCTGAGAGGGAACACTGAAACACAGAGCATGCTGCAGGCCAAAACTACAAATGGATTCCTATGAGGACAGACAAACAGGCTAGGAACAGACATACAGATATAGCACATATATATTTATTTATAAGATACAATAACGAAAAAACAAACATGAAAATTCATCAGGTCAAGTTCACTATGTGCTTGTGTAATTACTCCAGGCTTTTCTTAATAACAGCTTTCACTAACAGGGTCTATACAAAAATAACGTCTGGGGACACTTCAAGGGTCAATCTGCAGGGCCCTAACAGTGGCTCTTGGGAAGGCCGTTGATGTTGCTCAGCTAATCCACATAAGTACTTACACATATTAGTGGACTCAAAACGTCCTAGATCTATCTGAGAAGAGCACAAATGCATGTTTTCAATAGACCAGTAAAGTTCAATAGGTACCCTAAGGTTGAGAATTTGTGCTTAGAAATAAAGCTTTCATTATTAAATCTATATTTTATTTAAACCACTACTTTTGGAATTCTACTTAGCGTAACTCAATGATTAACTCTATGGATTAACCCACTGGGAGGCACCAGACACATGCTACCAGGAAGTCAGCAGACAGCGGCACTACCCTTTCTTACCTTCCTTCCATAAAGACACTGATAGAAGATCACACCCACTGACCAGACATCAACTTTATTTGAGATCTTTGGTGGTTCTTTCCCAACCACGAAACATTCTGGTGGTAAGTACCTGGGAAAAGAGCGAAGTAAAAATTTGTAGAAATATGATTATATAATAAAAAGAAAAATAAAAGACCTTGTTGAAAATAAATACATAAATTTTAACAGTCAACTCAGAAATGCAGCAGAGTTGATGAAAGATCCTATGAGGGAGGAAGTGCCACTCTGTTGAGCCCTCAAATACACCTCCGTATGGACAGGTAAATGCAGCACCTAATCCAGTGTCACTCGAAGTTCTGTCTTCGTGGTACCAGGAAGTAAACCTAACATTGTTACAGAGTTAACAACCACGTTGCTTAGGTATAGTTTAATTTTTATTTTTGGTGCCAAGGACCGAGCCAGGGCAAGCATTCTACTGCTGAGCTCTGAGCTAAGTGCCCAGCCCGAACCACGTTGCTTAAGAAGAGATTTCAAAAACCAGGGTTTTGGGTTTTCCCCTCCCTTTGGTGCTGGAGATTGCACCTGGGCCTCCACTGAGCTTTACCCCAACCCCTAAACTTAAATCAATGTTCTCAAGCGAATGAATCCGAGACTCAGTACACATCAAGAGGGGAGAACAGACTATTCTGCCTTCTTAACAGAGCCTCTTTTGAAAATTCTGACCTAAAATAACTCCAATACAAAAATCAAGGGTGTGGGACTGGGCGTGGTGGCGCATGTCTGTAATTCCAGCGCTTGCAAGGCTGAAAAGAGGAGGCTCACTACGAGTCCGATTTGTGTAGTAAGACCCTGCAGACCCTGTCCTAAATACATTTTTTTTAAAAAGCCTGCCCTGCTGCCCTCCTTTTGTCTTGCCAGACTGTGCTGCCCAGCCAGCCTCACCTGCAGGGCCCACGAGAGCCTCCCACCCCAACGTCCTGGTCCTGTGAGAGGGGATGACAGAGGTACACCACCACACCTACCTTGCTTTTCTTTTTAGTAACTGTTGCTTCATAGCCTTACTTTCCTTCTTTTATTTTTTTTTTTTTTTTTTTTTGGCAGAACTGGGGATTGAACTCAGGCCCTTGCGCTTGCCAAGCAAGCACTTATTCTACTACTGAGCCATCTCTCCAGCCCCCTTCTTACTTTTCGTAGTGAACACTTTTGGATGAATAAGACCTCTGACTAGACTATTTTACAATAAAAAAAAAAAAAAATTGGATGAAACATACACTGAGGACTGGGGGTATAGCTCAGTGGTCAGTGTTTAGATGTACAAGGCCCAAGTTTGATCTTTTGCACTAAAAAAACCCCCAAAACCAAACCAAACCAATTCACATTAAAAAGTATAGATTTAGAATTTAACTAAGAAGGAGAAAAAGGGAAATATACAAAAAATACAGGAAAAAATATGTAAGAAGGACAATTCTGGGCCAGGGAGATGGCTCAGTAGAATAAGCACTTGCCTGACAAGTGCAAGGTCCCGAGTTCAATCCCTGGTACTGGGGGAAAGAAAAGGACAATTTTTTCAAGTGCCAATAAAACTTCTTGGGACCCTAGTCTTCATATTCTTCAGTTCTTTAGTAGACATAATGTAAGTACAACCTCAGATAAATAATAAATATAACCCTGACTCTAAAATGACCATTGTAATACATTGATAGCTTTTGCAGAAGTGGTAAAGTACTGGGGATGGTAAACTCATTCAAAGGC